CAGAGCATTTCTAGACTTGCACAAGTAAATATGGATGAAGGTAATAAGTATGCCCTTTTATAGTTAGAAAAGACCAGGGAGAGATCTCGTACACCAGATGTTATGACGGATTCAATCAATTTCTTGACCCGGACGACGGCTCCCTCTACTTCACAGTTGAGAGAAAATGCTCTCATAGGCAATCTGCCACGAAGAGCACATGCCCTTTCAACAAAGTCCAAGAAGAGAGACCTCTTAGATAAGTCAGACTCCTTGAAGTGAAGATCAGGAACCAAGGCCCACAATTGTCCCAACCTTTTACATGATAGGCTTGTCTGTGCTGCATCCTTCACCTCAAGAAACAACAAGATATGGAGAAGAAGCTCATTGGGTAAATCACACAACCTATTCGAGCAATTGGCAACCTTGCATTGCTCTACCTTTTCAGAGAATTCCTCCTGCATTCCAAGATCTCGATTCACAAAGGAAAGAGCAATTTGTCTACTTAATAAATAAAGTTCCATTTGAGAACCTATTAAACTTCTGAAGTTGCAAGAATCGATAAGTTTTAGTCATAGTTGCCAATACTTACTTGATGGAATATTAAAATAATGTACCTTCAAATTTAAAGGTAAAGAATGCAATATCTCCAGTCCCTCATTTTAGTCACTATAACATTTGGGCCCTAAACTAGCAAACAAGCTAAGGTAGGGGCATGCACACAGGCAAACTTTCAAGATCGCCAAGTATACCTGAAGCATGTGGTTTGTCTCTTCTTCGGATAGCCTTTGTTTCTTCTTTACATTTTGTAGTTCTTGAATTAATAATGAGTTTTGAACCTGATTATAACCATATCAATTAAGAAAGAAAAGTTGCATTATATATCTCTACAAGATCACAACATAAACAAGACATGTATGGAGACAAGTAAGATGGGAGGCTTTCTATTTCCTTTTTTTTTGGGGGGGGGGGGGGCTTTGCAGAAACACGGAAAAGAAACCCCACACAGCATCTCCAATTCAGATGTGTAGAAAATGAAATAGACAATGATATCTATTGCCAATGAGAACAAAACAAAAGAAGCAAAAACATCGGCATATACATGCACTTTGATATTGCCCAAAAAGGATGCACTTATTAAGTCCAAATAGGATAAATATTCCAAGGCAACACAAAAAAAATAAATGTTCACCCACAAATCAATTTGAGCAGACGAGTGCTAGAGTGAACAAGAATGGGTGTTTGAATATATATACATATCAATGTTCAAACTCCATATGGTGTCATAACAGGCATGACGGAAGATAAACCTGCATAATAGCTAGGTCACTCTCAGACTGGATTAGCTGTTTCTTTAAGGCTTCAATTTCAGAATTCTTTGTGGCCAAGGCTAACTCCACGTACTTTCTTGGCACATATCTTTCACTTAGCAATTGTTTTATCCGAGTCTTGTGTGATTGAGCAACTCCTCCCTGATAAGCATCAACCTGCAAGCAAGAAATGAAAGAGAAGTATATAATCTATAACTTTGACCATGTTCAGCATTTATTCTTTACCTCTGTGGTAGGTATCTCCATAACCTGTGGAGTATATGATTCATGTTTTTGAAGGCCACTTGCATATTTATTACATCCCTAAACAATGACAAGGCAATATCAACAAGAGCACCAAAAAAATGAAAAGAGGACCACATAATCCAATTATTTTAGTATGAGCTATGTTCTTTATAAGTTAGCATAATTACATCACAAGCACAATTCACCAAACTGAAAGTTACAATAAGAAAGACAATCTAGGAAACTTTATATAGGCTATTGAAATTCTGGAGTTTACAGTAAATTTCAAAGTTCATTTATCTAATCTTCAAATGAGCCCATCCACTAACTCAATTCTCATCATGCTGGCTAATCATGAATGAAAAGACAAAGCCAGAAATGATTAATGTGAGGAATAACTCTAGACATTCATCACTTCTTTTGCCTAACACGTGGTCATGTGGATGTTGAAATTTTCGGCACCATTTTTGTCAGTACAATCTAAAAACAATCCTACCTCTGATCATAAAATAAAAAACTTCGATTACACTAAAACGATGAAATCTTCTCAATTGCCTATGTACCCAGTGAAAGGGGATGCTTTCCAAAAGTTTTTTCTACGCTATAATAACCAACATAGGTGACAAGATAGAACTGTTGGGATACCATGAAAGAGACCAAATTCTTTGGTGGCATTTTTATACAATTTCCTCCTGTACTTTCGTTGGGAATTTTTCCCTTCAAATCTAACAGGATACCCTAGACAAGAGTAAGAGAATGAAAGTAACACAAAGAAAATTGAGTAAAAAATAATTATACTCCGTATTAATTATATTCCATTTTCTTAGTATTACAATAAATCTCCGTTCGAATACAATATGAATATATTTATAGCCAACTAAAACAACTGATGACGGAAACCTTTTAGGAAAAAACATACCCCAAGTTTTAAAGGGTATGCTTATCATCTTAGAATTTCATTCTTTGATATATCAATATTTAACCAAATGCCGCATGGAACATAATATTAATAGGAGCAGAGAAATCCAAAAATCATGATTGAGATATACTTAGTCAGCTAACCTCAACATGCTGATTCTGTAATTCTCCAAGAGGCATATTGGCATTGGGTCCGATGCCCTGTTTCTTATAGGCAGAGGATGCAAGGTCTCGTTCAACACCTACGATATTCCCAGTACCAGCATCGGAGCTTCCAGACACATTAGACTTCATAGGACCACCTGATGTGACCATAGGTGTCCCAGTACCCTGTCGATTCCGAAATTTGATGACTGGACACTTATCCACAATTATGGAAGGAAAGAATGACAGATTGCAAGCGATCTATACCTCAGGCTTATCCTGAAGCATCATCCTCTTCGATTTAGATTCTTGCAGATTGGAAGCTTCAGAAACTACAACAGGCACAATCGCAACACAGCGTTAATTATTATAAATTAAACAGAGCCACCGATGGAGTATACTGTACCCGATACACATATCGGTAGTGCATTTTCAGGCTAATTTTAAAGATTGAGTTGAAACAAAAAGCGGAAAAGAGTCTGATATTCAAGAAATCTACAAAGCACGGATTGGAGTAAACATTGGGCGATCAAGAAGCGCTTACGAGTTCTAGGGTTTGAGAATGTCTCGGCAAAGCTTACCGAGGTGCTGATAAGTGCGCAAATGGAAATGGAACTAACCAGAATCAGAATTCATGAAAAGAGACCGATCGAGTTCAGAATCTGCAGCCGCCTCCATCGGTGAAGCAGGAGCCGACGAGAAAGTGGGGCTGGCCAAACTCCCGCCAATTCTTCTGAAATTGTACGGAGAACGAAGCAAAATACTAAAAAAAATGAGTAAAATTTGCCACTAAAATATACTCATTCCGTTACGCATGGTTTGGTCCACTTTATCTACAAATTTTAATTTATTTGATTATAGTGTTAATATTATTAAATGTAAACCGTAATAAACTACATGAAAAGTTCTGCAAAACAAAATGTAACAAGGTTATACGAAGTATTATTATTATAAAATGAGTAGTATAAATAAGCAAATACAGTGAGTTAAGTTTTACTTTGTAAATGATATTTGCGAAGATTTCTGGGAGACGGAAGAAACAATACTCGTACTTCCTCTCCAAAATGGATGTTATTGTTTGAATAACGAACAAAATCCTGTCACTTTTAAGTTTATTTTAATTGAAAATTGGAATAAAAAATAAAAGGGTCAAATTAAATCTTTCAAAAATTTTATATAACAAGAGATGATATAAATGTTTTATTTTATCAAATGACCAATAAAAAATATGAAATATAAATAAACAAAAAAATATCGAGATATCATAATAGTGTCAATGTAATCCATTTTGGTGTGGAGGGAGTAATCCTTTATATCCTTTATATATAATATTTGAAAGTTGAACTCTCAGAATTGTGACATTTGGTGTGATGATTGAATGTTTTTTGACACCTAATCAGCCATGTCATCAAGAGAATTGAATCGAACTTTCCTTCGACTAATTTATGATATAATAAAAGAAATTATGTAACATAATAAAATTAGTGAAACATAAATATAGTACTGCATAAAATAAAAATTATTAATGGAAAAAAGAAAAGATTCTTTTTTAACTAACAAAATTTACAGTAAAAATTTTACGATAATATTTTGCTCGGACTCCAATTAAGCTTAGAAATTAGTCAATTGAATAAAAAGGATATTAAATCATTTTTATAGAAAAATAAAAACAAACTAAAACAAATTAAAAATGAGAAGTTTTAACATTTAGTAATAAAATTTTGATCTAATTATTATTATAATAACTTTATTTAATATAAAAAAATATCATATTTCTTCAAAAATTATATTGACTACTGAACTTAAAACGAATAAAAAAAAATTTCATTTACAACGTAACTCATATGTAAAATTTGCACTAAATAGGACTAAAACATAATGACTTTCCTAATCTAGGACTTAAACTTTTTTATTCCCTAAATAGGACTTATTAATGTCTTAGTGAAAGGAATAATGTCCAGTAATGATGAACATTTACTTGAATAATGACTAATTCATAATGACCAAAAGTCCTATATTAGGAAATAAAAATATATGTGTCCTATATTGGGAAAGTCATTATGTTATATATATATATATATATATATATATATATATATATATATATATATAATTCTTTTTTGGTCATCCCTTCTTTTCCATTTAATTTGTATCCTCTGATCTGATCAAATGTGTCTTTGGGTTTTTTTGAAGAAGCTAAGGTAGCACAAGAACAAGAAGAAGAAGATGGAAAAGATTAATAAAGATGTTCAACCGCTTGTCTTTGACTTGACAATGGAAGTGGAATCACCAAGGTATTATTGCTTTTAAATTTTTTTAGTAGATTTATTCATCATAATGGATGAAATTCTCGTGAAAGTTATAGGACTACAACCATTTCACAATTTAATTATTACAGGTGGGATTCAGTGGAGACAATGCTCCAAGAGCTGTGTTCCCCAGCATTGTGGACCGTCCGCGTCACGCGACAGGGAAGAGTAAAAAAGATGCATATGTTGGAGACGAAACATCGAGAAAGCGAGGCATGCTGAGCCTCAAGTATCCAATAGAACATGGCGTAGTAGACAACTGGGATGATATGGAGAAGGTTTGGCATCACACCTTTTATGAACAGCTTGGTGTTGCTCCAGAGGACCACCCTGTCCTCCTCACTCAAAACCCTTTTAACCCCATGGCTAGTAGGGTGAAGATGGCGGAAATCATGTTTGAGACTTTCACCATCCCGGCTTTTCACATTGCCATGCCGGCGGTTCTTGCCCTCTACGCCAGTGGTCTTACCACTGGCGTGGTCGTAGATTCGGGTCATGGTGTTACTCACACTTCCTCCATCTATGAGGGTTATGCCCTGCCCCACGCCATACTGCGTCTCGATCTAGCAGGGCATGACCTTGATTGTTTCATGGCCAAGCTAAGCTCGTCCCAGGGGGAGAGATGAAAGTCGTAAGGGACGTCAAGGAGAAGCTGGGATATGTTGCTCTTGACTAGGACAAGGAGTTGGAGACATCAAAAGCCCACTCTGGCTTGAAGAAGAGTTATGAGTTGCCTGATGGAAAGCTCATCACCATTGGTGATGAGCGTTTCCAATGCCCAGAGGCCCTTTTCAGGCCTTCCCTGGTTGGTTTGGTGGATTCCGCGAAACCACATACAAGTCTATTATGAAGTGTAGTGATGATGGCATGGAAAACTCTTTAGGAAACATTGTGCTCAGCGGCGCTTCCACCATGTTCCCCGGCATGGCGGGTAGGATGAGCAAGGAGATTGCAAAGTTGGCCCCTAGTGGGATGGAGATCAAGGTGGTGGCGCCGCCGGAGAGGAAATACAGTGCCTGGATTGGTGGCTCTATATTGGCCTCCATCAGTACTTTCCAGAAGGTTTGCCATCAACTCAAACCTCATTTTCAAAAGTATAAGGGCTAATTAATAATGCAGTTTCCACAAAGTTCAAGAAAATTAAAACACGCTCTTTATAAAAAGTTTGGGAGAAAATAACGCTAAAAGTCGATAATATTTGTGTTCAATCCATTTTATGCACTCCAAATTGATCTTTTAACTATGAGCTAGAAATTTTTTCACGTGTTAATTGTTGTTTTCTAAAAAATACTCTCTCCGTCCCTAAATAAAGTTCCTCTTTCGTTTTTTCTTTGTCCCTAAATAAACTTTTCTTTTCCCTTAAAAAACCCCTTTTACCCCTTACTTTTTCATATCCTACCTATCACATCATACCTTTTTACTAATAATCTACCTATCACATCTTATTTTTACACATCACATCAAGGGTATTTTTGGAAAGTCAACACCAAAATATCCTCCCTTAAATACTCAAAAAATCAAAAATAAAACTTTATTTAGGGACGGAGGGAGTATTGTTTGTGGATTGACAGGGCAGAGTATGACGAGTACGGCGCCTCTATTCTGCGCAGAAAGTGCTTCTAATTCTCTTCCCAGGACAATGGTCTGAATTGTTGGTCGATTGCCACTTCATGCATTCTTCCAACTTTGTTTTTTATATTTGTTGTGGAACTAGACTCGTATGCGTGTGATGCACGGTAAAAATAATGTTATGGTTATGCAGCATATAAATAATACTTGGAGCATAACATATGACAAAATTGAAGAATGAATTAATACATGCGGAGTATTTCCCTTTCACATATACTACCTCCGTCCCAAAAAGATTTACACGTTTTGATTAAAGTTAAAATTAAGGGGGGGATAATTTTGTGTTGACTTTCCAAAAATGCCCTTGATGTGATGGGTAAAAGTAGGATGTGATGTGTAGATTATTAAGAAAAAAAATATGATATGATAGGTAGATTTTGAAAAAGTAAGGGGTAAAAGTGGTTTTTTAATAGAAATGGGTAGGAGATTGTGGGACGTAATTTTTTTGAAAGGTGTAAATCTTTTTGGGACAGAGGGAGTAATTCTTGTTTGCTTTGATTTTTTTAAAATCAAAATGGAGATTCCTAGCTAGCCGGCCAACACACTAATAGACTAATGACAGATTGACAGTCCATTTTGTCTTTATAAAACGTTTTGCGTATACCATTTAGACAAATTTTTATGTAGTATTAAGGTTTATATTTAAGAAAATTTACCTAAATAATGCTAAAACATAATGACTTTCTCAATATATAATCATATATTTTTATTTTCCTAATATAGGACCATTGAATCATAAAAGGATCCATATCACAAAAGGATTGAATTTTTTACATGTAGATATTAGAAGTATATAAAAACAACTCTTTTAATTAACTTTTTCAAACCCTACATATCATATCATACCTTTTTTTCTTATAATCTATACATCACATCCTACTTTTACAAATCAAATCAAAGTTATTTTTGGAAAGTCAACACAAAATTATCTCTCCCTTAATTTCCGCTTTAGTAAAAATGTGTAAAACTTTTTGGAACAAAGGAAGTAGAATTTAGGATTGAAGATGGACACTCATAGCCAAAGGTATGACCCAAACAATGTGGCAGCTCAAAATGCTTCAATTTCCTCATGTGCTTATCTTGTCTTTCATGGTAAAGAAACATCTAATTTTTGAGATCTGTCAATTCAGTCTCGTCCAAGTCACCTGCTCTTGCATCACAATGCGTATCCCAGGAACCGGGGTGAAACTAAAATGAAGAAAAATAATACTCCCTCCAAAGCTCTAACAATTATCTTCTCGTTGCGCGTTAAGATGTTTGACTGAAACTATTCTCAAATAATTTTATATGAAGAATGACGTGGAATTTAAAAATAAAAATTAGATATTTAAGAACTACATCAAATGAACTATAAAATTAAAGTGACTGGATTATATTATTTTATCAAATGAGCAAGGAAGATAAACCAACAAAATGGATAAAGTTTGACCTTAAGAATAGTGAATAGAAAGATAATTTGTATAGGTAGTGCTTTAATGCTTTTTATGATGATGAATTTTTAATTGATGATGGTTTGCGCATGATCCTTAAGTGAAATTTGCACTGAATAAGACTAAAACATAAATCATTTCCCAATGTAGGACTTAAACTTTTTTATTCTCTAAATAGGACTTAATAATGACTAGTGAGAAGAATAATGTCTAAGTGATATTGGACATTTAGTTAAATAATGACTAATAGACAATGACCAATGGTCTTACATTGGGAAATAAAAACATATGATTCCATATTGATAAAGTCATTATGTTTTAGTTCTATTTAGGTAAATTACTCTATTAAGTATCACTATGTATGTAATTGATTCTTTATAACGTTAAAAAATAAATTATTATTATTGTTGTTGTTGTTATTATTTCTTCGGAATTTCTTATAAAATAATGAATTACTCCCTCCGTCTAAAAAAATTGGGACATTTTGACTAAAGTGGTAAAATAAGGAGGGATAATTTTGTGTTGAGTTTCCAAAAATACTCTTGATGTGATGGGTAAAACTAGGATGTGATGGGTAGATTATTAGGAAAAAGGTATGATATGATAGATATGGTATGAAAAAGTAAGTGGTAAAAATGATTTTTTAATAGAAATGAGACAAATTTTAAGGGACGCAAATTTTTCGAAACGTGACAGACTTTTCCACATCAGTACCACATCAGAGTTTACTAAGTTCATATTTTTCTTACTTAAGTAATGGGATACATTCAAGGATTTGCCAATTTACTACAGCTACTTTTTTAAAATAATTAATTTAAACTAATTGTATAAATTAATTTTGAATTATACAAGCTAATGTAAAAATTATTTAAAAAATTAAAAACCAAAATAAAATTAATGTTTAATTTTCAATTTTCTCATCTTACTCGTCTCATAAAACATTTTAATTTCTCCAAAATGGACTACGATACTCCCTCTTTTTAGCCCTACTTTCCCACATCGATCACATGCATCACATCTCATACTTCCTCCGTCCCTAAATAGATTACAATTTTATTTTCTCTCTTCTCTCGATAACTTTTGTTTGTTTACGCGATTTCATTAGGTATTTGATAAAATAAAATATTCTTGTCACCTCTTGTTTTGTAGAACTTTTGACGTAGTTTTTTAATATGTAATTTTTATATCTTATTGATATACTAATTTGTAAATAAAATGATTTCAAAAAGTAGAAAATTTCACTCCGTAACCCGCAATTTGTAATCAAATTGGGGACGGAGGGAGTATTACTTTTTAATTACTGCCACATGTCAATATTCTAGACATCAAACTCTCAAATTTATATACTCCATCATAAAAGATTATTATTATTATTATTATTACTATTATTATTATTATTAGCATAATTAGTATTAATTACCCGGAGTATTTTTATTATTAGGTACTCCTTCCGCCCCAAAAAGAAAGTTTTGTTTTATTTTTTATGCATCTCATAAAACACTTCTACATTGTCTCAAATGCTAAAAAAACTACCAAAATGACTGCTACCCATAATAAAGGATGAATGTGGTAAATTTTAGAAATTTTAGGTGTAGATATTAAAATTTTTGTGGGAGGAAGAGAGTATTAAATAGAAGTATACTCCGTAATAGGGAGGATACAAGAGAGATGGTTGAAGAAAAATTGCAGATCTGGGATCTGAGTATCATTAAATCTGTATTTGGTTTTTGAGTAATTATAATGGTTAAAGGTATTCATTCATTCGCCTTCCATTCGTATCAGCTGATCAAATCTGTATTTGTTTTTGTTTTAAAGAAGTTACGTAACAAAAAATACGGAAATGGCGAAGGAGGTTCAAACGCTCGTCTTTCACAATGGAAGTCGATTTACCACGGTATTCATTTTTGTTTTACAATAGAATTCCATGAAAACCCTAATTAATTGAAATTTGACTTCAATTTCACAATCCAATTTTTTTCTCTCAATACGTACATTGCATCCCCTAAGATCGACGTTCATATACAGATAGATAGGACTCGGCGGAGAATGTGATCCGACGGTAGTGTTCCCCAGCATTGTGGGCCGTCCGGGTCACACGGGAGTGATGATGGGGATGGGCGCAAAAGATGCATATGTTGGAGACGAAGCACTGTCAAAGCGTGGCATTGCGAGCCCGAAATACCCTATATATAGAGAATGGCATAGTGTACGTCGCGAGTCACGCTCTTCTTTCGCTCTACGCTAATGGCCTCACCACCGGTAAGAATTGGTCATCGATCAAGACAATACATTACTGCAGGGGTGTTTGTTTTTTCTGGCCTCTGCGCCGCGCAGATGCTGAGCGCGCATATGTCTTCTAACATCTTCTCCATTTTTTTTCTTCTACTTCTCTTCACCACCACCACCACCACCACCGTCCACCACCATCACCGCCACTGTCGCCCACCACCACTGCCACCGTCCACCATCATTGTCACCGTCCATCACCATCGTTGTCCACCACCACCGCCACCACCGCCACCGTACCGCCTTCAATGTCCACCACCACCCTTCACCACCACCACCACAATCGTCCATACACCACCACCGTACACTACCACCATTAATTTATATAGCAGTCTACATACATTAAAAAACAAACAGTCTTCTTCGGTTCACCACTTCTCCTGCAGATGTCTACAGTAGTGGTCCGCAGACTAGTAGCGTGAAGATCAACGTGGTGGCGCCACCGTATAGGAAATACAGTGCCTGGTCTGTATTGGCATCCATCAACTCTTTCCAGCAGGTTTGCCCTCATCTGTCCTCTCTCCCATCCCCCATTAATGCTTGGAAAAGGTTTGGGGAACCCTGTTTTTGACACCCCCATTGACAATGACTGCCTGTGAAGAAGCATCTTTGGTGTCAAAACAAAAGTGGGATTCTCCAAACATTGTCCTTAATTGCTCTCATACCCTCAGGTGATGTCAAAGTTTCAGTATACTTGACACTTTTCTAATTGGTTTTTTGAATGAATAATGTGAACAGGAGTGGATTACAAAGGCAGAGTATGACGAGTACGGGCCCTCAACCGTGGTCAGAACCGCAGATTGCCACTCTATATAACTTTGTTTTCTTCATTTCTTTGTTATTCGCTTGCGATCATTTTATGAGACTCTTTCATGGGCATGACTTGATTTTTCATTTGAATAATCAAAATCTTTTTTCACCTTGGTTTCCATGACATTGAGATTCAATGTCATGAGATGACCCGAAGTTTATTAATGCTTCGTTCGAAAAACTGATGGTTCCTACCCCCTAATCCCCGGTAAACATCCCACCCCCGGCCTGGCCTGGAACATACCCACACACCCCCATCAATTACATGCCACAAGATTTAGTTGACTTTGGAGTCAAATTTTGATTCCAAAGTCAACTAAATCTTGTGGCATGCAATTGACGGGGGTGCGTGGGTATGTTCAGGCCATGCCAAGGGTGGGGGGTTTACCGGGGGGATTAAGGGGTAGAAACTATCAATTTATTGAACAGAGCATCATATATACCCTAATTGGAGTCCATGTCATAAGATGTGGACTCATGTCACCCAAACCGCCCCCATCTTTTTTAGTACTTTTATCAACTTATTATTACATCCAGAGTTTTAAATGCTTTGTTCATATTGTATTATGATCCATTTGGTATACAGAATTGATGGAAATAAAATTTTATGGGATTCAATTCCATAGAATTGAATTCATCAATTCCAATTCATCTTTTGCGCTATCAATTCCAAATTCACATAATTTGTGTGCTACCAAACACTTGAATTAGAATTGAAGTCCTCAATTCTAATTTTATAACTTGAACTCCGTATATCAAACAGGACTTTAGAATATTTCTTTCAAGTTTTATGTTAATGTCCTCAATGAAGTTTGATCATTAAATAGTACTCCATCCACCTCAAAGAGAGTTGCTTGTTATTGTTTGGGAGATTTGTTTGAATTTGTTCTTAATTTAATTTATTTAAAATAGTAAGAAATTAAAAATAAAATTTATACATTTAAAAACTACATCAAACATTCTCAAAACAAGAAGTGATAGACCTATTTTATTTTTTCAAATAGATCGAGAAAATAGTTAAGAACGTGGTTCAAGTTTGACCTTTTGAATAGTAAACAAAAAACTTAAATTTGGACGGAGGGAATACTCTGTATTACAGACCGTTTCAAAAAAATAGTACTCTCCCCATCCCTTTCGAATCTTCCTATTTGATTTTTCATGATTTTCAATGCAAGCTCTAAAATAGAAGATGATGATCTTTAAGGTCAATAACAAAACAGAATTTAAAGGCAGCCAGTCGCCATGGACAAAATGATGTTTGCTCCTAGTAAGCTTAATAAAGGAAATTGAACTCAATGAAATAGCAATAATCTTCATGAATATATATATAGCATAGTTAGGCAAACAAGCATTCCCCCAACACGAATTTCAGTTGCCCGCTTGAACACCATGACCTCTCTGTTTCTTCCAGTTTCCATAGAGAACCACAAAATGGTACAGTATAAGAAGTTCCTCAACTTCTTTGTTTCTTTTTCGCGTGGGACGCGGTTTTCTTGAAGTCCCCAAAGTCAGCCGCGGTATCGGCAGTGTTCTGCTTTTTTGTGCCTTTTCTCCCTCCAAATCCATATTTGGAATCCCTATACTCTCTGCTCTTCTTTTTCTTGTCAAACCCTTTCTTTCCACCACCGCCGCCGCCGCCTTGTTTTGATTTCCCTCCGGAACGATCACCAGGAGCCACCCCATGCCTCTTCTTACTTGACCTCTCAAATGAATTCCCATCTTCAAAGGCAAAACTAGGGGCACCGTCTCGGCCATCAGTGGCAAAACCACTCTGCTGCCGCTGCTTCCTCCACTTCTTCACAGACTCTATGTCCTCTTTCTTCTGCTTAGCCCTCTCCTTCAGCTTCTCAGCTTGTATCTCTTTCGCTAGCTTCTTGTTCTCCCTTGCCTTCCTTCTTTCCTCGGCTTCCTCAATCCTCTTCTTCTCAGCCAAGAGTCGCCCCTTGATTTTCTCCATATGCACATCGGTTTTCACCATTTCGGCATAATAGTCTGAGGGTCTCAGAAAAGGCAGACCCATTGACTGAAACTTTGTGAATGCCTGTCTTGCCCCTTCCAGCGCCTGGGTGAAGAAGGCAAGCTCTCGAGTCAGGTCATCATTCACATCCACTTCTTGCTCCTGAACAATATCAAAGGAAAGCTTGTGTATCCAGTCCACATCTTTAGGCCAACTGATGTCTCCCATTTTATCAAGCAAGCCTTCTTTGTTGTATACAGCAGTCTTTGAAGGCTCAGATAGTTTTAAAACTTCGTCTTCTTCGGATCCTGATTCAGACTCAGAAACCACAGGATCATCGTTCTCCATCTCCATGCCATTCATTGGCTCGTCATTCTTCATGTTTATAACTCCACAACAGGCAAGTCTGAAAAAAAGAATAAGACCAAAAGAGACGTGATGGTCAACATAGAAAACAAGAGTACCGAAACAAATGGAACTCGACCACAATTTCATGGTCGTGACTAAAACGAGAGGAGAAAGCGATAAACAGCAACTCAAGTTTGTATTATTTTTTGTACATAGCTTCTCTTTCACTAGCTAGAGAAATGGAGCAATCCCATTTTCAACATTATCTGCTAAACCCAACACATATTCTCTATATCTTTGCCAATCTTAAAGACATATCACATAGAAATTTGCTCAGCTTTTCTTTTGTGTTTCCTGAACCAGCAAAAATTACAGGCTAGCCAAAGTGAAGCAAGCTCTGAAGCTATATGGGCAAAAGACTCAACCAAGCGCGAGCTAGAAATATTCAATTCCTGGTTCAAGCTTTTCTAAAGATGGATTCCATGATCTAAACATTTGATTCAAAAGTACTAAATAATCAAGCTAATCTAAAGCATTTTTGAACATTTATAGAGATTTGATTTTAAAAATCTTTATAGAAATTATTGAGCATTAATTTATATTCATTAGGTTATTGATTTAGATTTTTTATTCTTTTAGTTAAATTTTAAGATAGTGGTTAATGTCTTTTATAAATTTTTTTCTTCTTATTTAAGTTTCTCAATATCTTTGCTTTAGGCTCTAACATATGTCACTAAAAACAGTGATATAGGTTTATCATGGAATGAAGTTGCATTTCTAACAGAAATAATTTGCCGCAAAATAGCAAACTGTGTGAAACAGAAAAAAATTAAATTCAATTCCTAAACCCAACCAGAAGACATTTTCAGATGTAGTCAATTTCCAAAACCAAATACTTACAACACATAAGCAAATTTATCCATAACGCAACTCAAAGTTTATTTAAAGAAGAGAGTACTCGTAGACTATTTGTCCAATTTGAGGAATCGTGCATGCTTTTCAGCGGAATCCTCACACCGCCATTTAACAAATGTAGCCAGAAATAATGTGCTGTTAAAAAATGAAATTTCTAGAGAAGTGCATAATCAAATTTTGTGGAAAGTAAAGTTTACAGTTGAATAATGACGTGTGAATGATATAAGCTATTTTCCCCTTTCTACCCCAAATAGCAAGATGGGGGTTGGGAGCTATAGAATGGCTAAAACAATTGTGTATCAGAAGAAAAAAAACCCTGCAACATCTACTCTTACAATTGCTTACAATTTGGCAATCACAAGCAATCGTAAAAATAAAATAAAAAAGTCACCTCACCTATCATCATACCTAAGGATGCAAAGTATAAAACCAGTTTTTAATGCTCCAAATGCGATAAACATCTAGAGAACTAGTCGTAACTCAATGGTGTTTCTCACATGTTCAAATTTAGCTTCTTGTTAGAAAAACTCTCACGCCTTAATCACATCAAATCAGAAGTGGTTATTGCCACTAGAATTATTTCATAGAAGCATGCATACTCAAACACAAAAGACAAATTAAAAAAAACTATTTCGCCTGTGAGAATACAAAAAAACTCAACCATGCATACTCAAACATAAAAGACAAATTATTTCTTAGAAGCATGCATACTCAAACAAACTAATTTCGCCTGTGAGGATAAAAAACACAGATTTAAAAGATTACTAGATTATACGAATTCAAATTTTATAAATTAATTACTGTACAGAGTATTAAAATGCTAATAATGCTTAATATCTTTACTAGGTTTGCATCAAGGTTTGAAAATGCGAAAATTAGCCTAGAGGCAGTGGAGCAAAATGCCTCGAGGCGGAACGAGGCATAAGCTTCATCTTAACATGAAAAAAAAATTTAATTAACCACACTAAAACACACTGTCACACATAGAGAAATATGTAATGATGTAAATTCTTAACCAAACTTAGGGGTGTAAATGGATAATATCCGTTTCGGATGTATTATAACCGTATCTGAATCCGATTAGCAAAACCGTTATCCGAATCCGAATCCGGCGGATGCGTATGCGGATTCGGATATATCCGCATCCGACAAAGCATCCTACTAGTAAAAAAATCCGAATCTAAATCCGTTTCTAGATTCGATAAAACATCAGATTCGCAAGGAAAAACGGTATACCTATCCGAAAAATCAAATGAACAGTTCGAGTACAACAACAGTGGCGCTGATTCTAAAATCAAATGAACAATTCGAGTACAACAACAGTGGAGATTTATTTTTCTTAGGGGCGATTTCATAGTGGCGATTTTCAGAGAGGCGTTGATTCTAAAATAAAAGGAAAAAATAAAAGCATAATTGAGAGTTAGTACCTAAAATCAAACAAGAGAGTAGATGATGATGCTAAGGATTGAGGTGCTGAGCTGAAGCAGCAGACTCGCTGAAATGGTCGCTGGATTCGGAAAATAGCTGAGGAAGACGCCGCTAGGTCACTCTGTCGCTGGATGCTGCTTCCGGAAAAAAAAAAGGCTCCTTCTTTATTTAGGTTTAATCTCAATAGTGATTTTGGGCCATTTAGGCTTGGTGGGCTGAGAATAAATTAGAAAACTAGGAGTATACATAAAAATATTAATTAGTCTAAACTACGGATAATTTTTTTTTAAATAATTTTTTACTCCTTCCCTTCTGTCCCTCTGTATTTGTCCACCTTTATCTTTATACATCATCCAATGCACTTCTTTAGTTCATTTTATCTTGTAATTTGTATATTAAAAAATTATAAAAATTATATATTAATAATAGACAAATCAAACAAGATCACACATGACTATATTTAGGCTTACACATTTAGAGAATTTGATGAGTCAAAGTGCTTAGATGAACAGTTCCAAAAGTCAAATGTGGACAAATACAGAGGGACGGAGGAAGTATTACCTATATTCGGTAAAATGGATCGGATATGCGGATATATAATCGGATGTATACATGGATCGGTTTTAAATGGATCGGATCGGTAATTACCAAATCCGCATACATTTATCAATCAGATGTTTAAAGCAGATGCGAATTTTTTCCATTTAAACGAATACGGATCTGGACGGTAATCGGATTTTTGGTTATTCGTTTACACCTCTAACCAAACTTAGAGACAGAAAATATTAACCCCTCCAAAACACAATATGTAATAACGTAAAGTCATTAAAAAAAATACCCACCACAAAAACGATGAAATTAGGACTACAGGTCCTAACTTACCCTTAATTTATGAAAGTTTTAAATTGTTTTCAAACAAGTTTTAAAAATTCTAAACAAAAAAAAAACCTTCAAAAACAATTCCCAAAAAAATCTATAAATTACAGAAATCTTCATCGGAAACTCCAGCAAAAAGAAAAGCAGAGCCGTACCTCCAGGGTTGGCGCGGCACCGGATAATAAAAGTTAAAAACTTTTATTTTTTAGACTTCACTCCTTTTTGAACTACCGCTGAAGAAGAATCCTAGAAGTGGTACACTTCAGACTTGATAGTCGAATGAAAAGCTCTGAATGTTTAGGTCATGATGCTTCTCCATTGGGCTGCTATTTTTAAAGAATTAAGCTAGGGGTACACCAATATGGGGTACCCAGTGTACACCAAGCCAACACAGACACACACAAACATAAAGTGTCTGTGTTGCACAGACATTTTGTGTCTGTGTGTCTGTGTTGGCTTGATGTACATTTGGGGTACCTCATGTTGATGTACCCCTAGCATTGCCCATTTTTAAATGGGCCTAAGATGTTCCGGAGTAACCATTAATGAGGATCTAAAATGAGTATTCAATTACTTGTAAAATATATACTCCGGAGTACTTGTCTCGGATGTACGGAAAACACTGTACAACTGGTTCTACGGTTTATATTGCGGCCTTACCCACATAGACACATTGAATTAAATCAAACACCGACTACCTTTGTCTTAGAATATTTTTAAATAAATTTTATTTTTTTTACCATTATAATTGATATAATTTTGGCTGGTAATTGAATAAAATTTATAATAGATACTTATATAAAAATAATTAAATTAAATTTATCTAATAAAGTATTTTCAAAAGATACATAATTGATACTGAGTACTTTGGGCTTGTTTGGAAATAGCGTTAGAGATTAGCGTTAGCATTTTGAAAAGGCTATCTACAGCCAGCGTTTAGCGTTAGCGTTTTCAAAGTAATATGCACCGTTAAAATTTTATCCAAAACGCTAACGCTAATCTCTAACGCTATTACCAAACAGGCTCTTTATCTATTTTCGTTGTTCGTTAAATAAAATAATACAAGGTCACCTCTTGTTTTGTACTTCCTTCGTCCCACTTGTATCTTTCGGTACATTATTCGTAGAGTTAAATTTTATATACCTTGTTTTCTTATTTTCGTTACTAATTTGATAAAATAAAATAATTATGCCACATCTAGTTTTGTAAATCTTTTGATTCTTAATTTTACACATACAATCAAATAAATTAAATTAAAAAATAAAATTGATCAGGCATCGTAATGTGAATCGAAAAGGTTCAAATGGAACATAGAGAGTAAAACTTTTGATGCAATTTTTAAATATTTAAATTTATTTTTTAGTTTTTTGTAGACTTTCTCACATCAAAAAAAAAATTAAAAAAAATGCTCATGTAATAAGCGTTTATATTTACTAATCACCTTCATCTCTGGATTCACATAAAAATATGTGAACTTAAAAATCCTCTATAGCATTTATCAATTATCAAAGAGATGTAATTCCGTGATCATAAAATTCACATGTAAAATGAAAATTCTTGATTTCTTTTCAAAAAGCCCTATGTACCCATGAAATTTATAAATACTAAAATCCATAAAATAAAAATGGACCTTAAAACCATAGAAGAATTTGATATTTTCAAAATACTTTTGGGAAGACTGTTAAAATTCACCCGTGCAAATACCCAACATTGGATAGACTATCACTGCTTTTAGGGCAGGGTTTGAGCAAGGGAATGGGTAGATTTACCATCAGAATCAGTTATTCAATAGGGGTGTGGTAGTAATTTCCTCCCTCATTTCGTAACCCAATTCCCGCGAACTAAGTATGCAGTGCCTTGTCCCTTGGAAACAAGAAAAATTTTAACGCGCAAAAACACCTGAAAGTTCAGTGCATTTGATCAAATTATCAAACAATATTGTACAACTAAAATAAACAAAAAAAACGACTTGTTCTGAACTCATTAACAATATTGTACACAGAAAGCAACTCGAATCGCCATTGCAAACCGGTTGGTTGCTGTCAGATGTATAATCCTCTCTGAAACTATGAAAGCCAAAAGGTCAGCTTTTTTTATATAAAAAAAAGGACTTCAAGTGTTGATTTTCCAATGGCCACTTCTATAACCCAGAGACATGATTGCCAACTCCCATAACATGTTTGGGATGCTCATAAGGTTTACCTTTGACCCGGGAATTTCAGTCCAATTCACAGATACCTCGACTATCGGTACACCCAACCGTTTGCAGATATAGACTATCTCAACATCAAAGCACCACCTACACAAGGTTCACACATTTGAAAAAAAGAAGGAACAAATCTTAGGCATGAAGGGGGGGGGGGGGAAAGAGGCACAAAACACAAATCTAAGACTTGAATATGTGTTTTGTCAAGTAAAAAATAATGCTTTTTTCATTATAGGCTCCCATTATTATTATTATTATTATTATTATTATTATTATTATTATTATTATTATTCTTTGTTATTCATCCTCATCATTTACATTTTTCCCGCATTATGGCAACCTTCTCAAAAAAACCAACGTGGCCAACAAAACTGATCTCACCATTCCATGTCAATTTTCTATAGCTCATCAGGGGAGTTAGGACTTGACCGAAATTGGAGCATCATTAAAAATATAATACTCCATTAGTCATTTTCAAAGAAAAGATGTGGAACCACCATATTTGACTTCTCGGGTCCACATCCATTTTTTAGCATAGGTTGATAGATAGAGATACAAAGAAACAAAAGAGTAAATTGCAGAAATAAATTCAAAAAAATTACAAACCTAAAGAAAACAATTAACTACAAGGACGAAGAATATATTTATGTCTAAATCTAAAAATCACATATTAAAGAGCAAACCTTTTCAAACGGATATTTGGAAAAAGTTTCCTGGCTGCTGCTCTGGTAAACATTTTGAACCCACACTGAAATAAGGCAGAAGATGTCAAAATGCACCCAAACATGGATCAAAGAGTGCTTGAGTCATAAAGGGTCTGCGTAGAACCTCAAAGTGCTATGGGGAGAACATAAGGAGCAAAATAGAGGGGAAAAGTTGCAAGAAAAAAAACTGGTTCAAATCTATTATGAAGTATGTTTGTTCAAACTCAATTGATTTACTAATTTGTTTCTAATGTACAGAGGCTAAAAAAATTATACTTATGTAAGATATTCAAAAACACGAATCATATTTCATTTACTTTTAGTGAAATTTGCACTAAATAGTACTAAAACATATGTCATTTCCCAATGTAGTACTTAAACTTTTTTATTCCCTAAAAAGTACTTGAGTAATCTCTAGTGGAGGGGAACAATGTCCAGTGATGGTAGACATTTAGTTTGAACAATGTCCAGTGGCGGTGGACATACTACAATGAGAAAGTCACTATGTTTTGGTACTCTTTAGGTAAATTCCCATTACTTTTATGTCCTGTTTGGGAACATGGATTTAGATTTTAATTCAGATTTTTTGACCCATATGACAAGCTTGGGAATCTGAAAAGTTTGAGTTCGGATTTGGGTCAATCACAAATCTATACACTCCCCCTTGTAATTTAAAATTCAAATATTCAAATTTTAGAACTGAAATCCAAGAATTCAAATGAATTCCTAGTTTCCAACATTGACCTACATGTTTCGACGTAAAACTAAACATAAGAAAATAACTTGACACCCCCCCCCCCAAATTCCCTAGCATTTCCGAGAACCATACCCATAGTGAGAAAGGGGAGTAGCAGAATGGCATGAATCTCTTTGTTGAATATTAAATACCTGGGTATCACGGATTCCAGGTCCAGCAGCCAAAAGAACCACAATATGGAAACCTTTCGTCAAGAAATTCCGATACCACTTCCTCTGAAAAACAAGGCACAAAGGGATTTTACGAACTTGAAAACACAAAGAGAAATGAAAATGACAAAGGAAGAAAAGAACAAGAATGGTACATTTCACAAATGAAAAACTACTACCTCAGCCCCAAAATAAACTTCACAGTTTGAATTTCATGGTGTCCTATGCAACACTTTGACCCTTAATGTTTATGATTATATAAAGAGTATATATAAACTTAATTTATTCTAGAAGAGTAGAAGTATATCTCAAAATGAATCTTCTTTGAGCACAAAAATCAAACCGTGAAGTTTATTGAATGGAGGGTTTTGTGTGTGTGGGGGGGGATGGGGGTGGGGGGCTTAATAAACTCAACCGTTGCAAGAGCCTTCTCCTCAAGATGTGCCCGAGAACCAAATGCAACAACTGAGACATCTGAAATTCTTAAAGTTGAATCAATAGCAGCAGAAGCTCCAAAACCATGTTTTTTAGCAACTGCAAAAATCTGACTCCCAAATAGTTAGGCACTTAAAGGGTATGCTTGGTTTTCGGAAAATCATGCTGAGGGAGAAAAGCCAATAAAGGTTACTTTCTTGTGTTTGATTTTACCTCAAAAAAATGAAAAAGGGAGACGACTTCGAATTTGGGAAAAAAATCAAACTACAGTCATTGAGTTTTTCTTCTCCCACTTTTTCTTTTCTTAAAAAATTCTTCTATAGTTTCCTCTCCATTTTAATTCTATTCCATCTTTGAGTTCCAAACATACCTGACCCTAATATAGCAATAACATTTATAAATAGAGTATAAAGCTTCAACATTCGGGTCACAAACATACTTTGTTTCAAATTTGCATTGTGTGATTTATAGATACGACTTAACTTGGAGTTCATGGTACATGTTGAAGCCACCCAAGAACCATGATCTGGCTATGTTGCAAATGTTTTCACAAATAAGGTCCAATTATCTAGCCCGCCAGTATTTTAAAGAAAAAACCCACACACAATGTCACCAACCTGATTTTCTAACTTTTCAAGATCTTCTATTTTTGTTGCCCCATCAGCATCAAGCATTAGAAGCAGCTCACCACGAGAGTGTAGCATTCCCTATTTTTTATGCAGAAACAACTGAGCTTAATAAACTGAACTGAGGGATATACAGTTTGCTATATATTTTCATTTTTCCTATCAGAATATGATTTTCCAATTAAGAAAAAGGAGAAAATATTCATTACACTCACTTTCCGTATGGCTTCACCCTTTCCATGATTCCTTCCCAGCAAAATAACCCTCACATTCTCTACTGTGTGCTTCTTCACAAATTTAAAAGCCTCAGTTTTTGTTCTATCAGCACTTCCATCATCAACTATAATCACCTATTCATCATAAACTATAAATCAAATTTTGAAAATAAGCCAATCAAAAGCACATCCCAACCATTGTTACGCACATTCATGAAAATACGGAAACATGCTTGTGTCACTTACTCTTCAACACCAAGTTCACAAAAAAAAAATCAAGTAAATGAAAACAGAATATGACACATTTCATTCGTAACGATACCTCATATGTAAATGACTTGTCCTTAGCAGCACGGCGTTGAAGATAACTGAAAATACAATCCAATATTATTATGTTTTTTTCTAGATGATGTAGTGCAAGTTTAATGGTTTGAAGCCATTTCAACTGTCACGTTATATATTCTCTTCAAAAAAGCAAACATATTACATACAATAGCATTTCATCAAGAGCAGCAGGAAGCCTATTCTCCTCATTGTACGCAGGAATGATCAATGACATATACTTTTGGGCAGGATAAAAAATACTCGGACACGGGACCTGCAATATGATTGTTACTTAACCTCCTAGTGAACAAATGAACATCGAATATATCCAGACAACCAGCAGTATACACATCTCCACCGTCTACAAATATACTGGTTTTTTAAAGCTACACAGGCATAAACTATCACATAATCCGCTCCTCCAAATCTCCCGAATAGATCCGTAAGAGAGAAGACTTGGGTTCGAGCGTTCACTTACAGGCGTCAATGAATTTGGATCTTCGAACGCGGGAGGAGCTTCAACATGACTGCGGCGGAACGGAGAATCAGAAATTGGCAGAAGAAGAGAACACAACAAAAACGAGTAGGAGAAATTAGGGTCGATGGAATGCGTACTCGCGATTGAACTTTCTTCTGAGTGTTTCGAAAGCGACGGCGAATGATAATCCGAGTGCGGCGCACAGTGCGAGGGAGAGAAGCAGCTTGAGCGCAAGCCAGATTGGATCCACCATGCTTCCCTGTGGTTGAGCCTTACACCTCAGGAAAGACCATCGCAGGAGAGGTTTATGCGTTGAGCACTTGCACAGTACCACTGCGGCACCCAGAAATTAATCCACAGGTTGTATCAAAAGTGAGAAGGCGGATGACAACAGCTGCCCGTTTAGCTCAGTTGGTAGAGCGCAAGGCTCTTAACCTTGTGGTCGTGGGTTCGAGCCCCACGGTGGGCGTTTATTGCTATTTTAACTTTTTGGTGGCCCAAACGGCCAAAGAGAAGAATCTAATGTGGACAAAAGTTTTCCAAATGGTAATTGCAACACTTCGAATGATGTGCAAAATATCATTTCTTTTAAAATTATTTTAATTTTAAATTGGTAGAGTAATAAAAAATAAAAATTATACCATTCAAAATTATATGAAAAGCTTTACAAAACAATATGCGACAAGAATATTTTATTTTATCAAATGGTCAACCAAAACGAGTAAACAAACAAAAGTTATCAAGAGGCCAGAATAGTAAACGTGGCATTCTTTCTAGGACGGAGGGAGTATCTTTTACTATGAAATATAATGTTATACAAATAAGGTTATAATTATATTTTTTAAAAAAATTAAGATAATTATGCAATACCATAAAAGTTTTGTTCAAGCTCCATTAACCTTTTGGTGGCCCAAATCTTTTACTATGAAATATAATGTTATACAAGTAAGGTTATAATTATATTTTTAAAAAAAATTAAGATAATTATGCAATACCATAAAAGTTTTGTTCAAGCTCCATTAACCTTTTGGTGGCCCAAACGGCCAAAGAGAAGAATCTAATGTGGACAAAAGTTCCCCAAATCGTTGTATCTAATTTTAATTATTCATCAAATCCGAAATGTGGGCTAACATTTTTCAAAATTATATCTTTTATTATGAAATATAATGTTATACAAATAAGGTTATAATTGTATTTTTTTTACTCATCTTTAGTGTATAATTTTATATTTTCGAACAAAACTTTTATGATATTGTATAATTATCTTAATTTTAAAAAAAATTATGCATTTTTTATATTGATATATATATATATATATATATATATATATATATATATATATCTAAAAACTACTTTAGAATTTAAAATAAAATAATCTAATAAATTTAATATATATTTCTTGATATTTTAGATTTATTCAATGGAAAATGTAAATGTTAATATGAATTTAAAAAGCCAAAGTCATAACTTGTTGGTCGATTCGAACCCGATGACACTGGATCACTAACATACATTTCCCAACCCAAACATGAATCATAATTCTAATCCCTTAATTCTAATCGGGGTCTAACCGTCTGATTTGCCATCTCTACCTAATACTAATCCCTTAATTCTAATTTTAATCATCTAATCATAATATAATCTTTTTTATCAACAATGAGAAGGAGACCCGAGCTTGTAGCCCCGTGAAGTAGTGGTAGCATGCCGTGTAGTAGTGACACTCATCATATCGTCAGTACTTGAGTTTTCCAAATATGCAGTAGGGACCTCAAACGTTCTCCATGAAATGTCTGGAAAAGCCCCAAAGTTAGCAAGACGATCCACAAACTTATTTTGTTCACGCAAGATGACTCTAAAGCTGATTTTATGGAATATGTTTCTTCAACTCTACCTTTATCGCTATAATGGTATCGCTGATGGGTCCCTTCAAACTTGTAGATCTTGTAATCCAATTGACAACTTCTCTAGCGCCAATCTGCACCTCAAGATCCCTCACCCATTTATCTCATGCACATTGGATGTCTTTCTTAATGGCTTTAGCCTTGATTTCCTCGATGTTATTTGGTCTAGTTCTGTAAGAAAAAACCACCAAGTCATTCTCCACTATTGTTAGGGTAAATTTCACCCATGGTATACGAACTTTCATCATTATTTCACTTCGGTATATAAACTTTAATTTCTATTACAAAAGTACACGAACATTCAACATTTTTTCACCGGTGGTCCAATAGGTGGTTTTTAAGTCACCTTCAGGTCATTTGGGGTCAAATTATAATTTTATAAATTTAATTTTTTTTATTTTGACCCCACCCTTCCCTCCCTTTTCTTTCTCCCTCTTTCCCAGCCAGCCCCCACCCCCCACGCACCATTTCTTTCTTCTTCTTCTTATTTATTTAATTTAAATTTAAATATAAATAGATAAATTAAATAAATTTAAATTTAAATTAAAAATAACACTGGGTGCCACCATATTCATGCTCATGGGGTGCTTCTGGATTTATCAAAGAAAGAAAATCAAGAAATCTCACATGGACGCCATTCATATTCCACTAAGTTAAGATTTCTTTTTTCTTTCTTGACCCATAGATATATCTGATCTCCGTCCAAAATATGATGTTCGCTTTCCAAGAATTTGATGATCTCTGTCCAAACATTATTAATTCTGCAACAGACTCACTTCAAACAACAGCAAGATTAATATGAATCCGTAGTTCCAAATTTCATAAGTTCAGAAAACAATTATTCTGTAAAATCCTTAGGTTAGAAATTTCGAAAATTAGATATGAACTAGGCAAGATTGGTCAGCGAATTCAACAATAGTTCATAGACATATTCGATCGAATGATAATTAATTGCTGAATCGAAATAGCATATAATTGACAAATATCATCAAATCTATTTGCGAACTTTAAAAAAATAACAATAGTATCCATCAAACATAAAGTCAGAATCTCATTCGAACAAAAAAAGAGAGAAAATCAAAGTGATAACACATACAAACACGAACATAGAAGAAGAAGAAGGAAAAAGAATGGGTGCGTGGGGGTGGGGGGGCTAGCTGGGAAAGATGAAGAGAGGAAAGGGGGGAAGTATGGGGTCAAAATAAAAAATTTAAATTTATAAAATTATAACTTGACCCCAAATGACCTGAAGGTGATCTAGAAACCACCTATTGGACCACCAGTGAAAGAATGTTGAAAGTTCGTGTATTTTTGTGATAGAAATTAAAGTTTACATACCGAAATGAGATAATGATGAAAGTTCGTATACCAAATAAGCGATGCAAAAGCCTCTACCCAAATCTGGCGTCAATTCTGGGTAGAAGCTTTTGCATCAGTTATTACAACCGATGCAAAAAGTTACCTGAGCATTTGCATCGCTGACTTTTGCATCGGTTAAAAACCGATTTAAAAAGGTCAAAATAATCGATTTAAAAAGTCTTTTTTGTAGTAGTAAATCTTCCTCCAGAGTTGTGCATGAAGCGCAAATACATCATGCTATCGTTGTTAATACTCGGGCCTAAACAACCGAGTAATGACATTGATGTATTCTTAGCCCCAATGATTGATGACTTGAAGCAAATGTGGATTCATGGTATCAAAGTATTTGATGTTTATCGTCAAGAGTGTTTCACGTTACGTGCTATGATTCTTTGGACAATCAATGACTACCCAGCATACGGTAACCTATCTAGTTATAAGATTAACGGAAAATATGCTTGTTTGATCTGTGAGGATAATACTTCTAGTGTGTGTCTAAAGAATGGAAAAAAACAGTCTTCCTAGGTCATCGCTGATTTTTAAGACGTCAACATCCTTACCGTCGCATGAGAAAAGCTTTCAATGGTCAAGCAGAAAATGAGGTTGCTCCGAAAATATTGAGTGGCAAAGCATTGCATGAGAAGTTGAAGAACATAAACCATACATTTGGTAAGACACAGAAAGTTGATCCAAACGGTCCTATTTGGAAGAAAAGATCAATATTTTGGGAATTACCGTATTGGGAGTGCCTATCTGTCAGAAATTGTCTTGATGTGATGCACATAGAAAAAAATGTATGTGACAGTGTTATTGGCACCCTCCTAAATGTTCCAAACAAGACTAAATATGGTGTTAATGTCGGAAAAGACTTAATAGACATGGGCATTCGAACTGAGCTTGGACCGCAAGAAAAAGGACATCGCGCATTTCTCCCTCCTGCTTGCTACACACTTTCTAGAGAAGAAAAAATCACTCTTTGTCAATGTCTACGTGATATAAAGGTTCCACAAGGGTATGCTGGAAACATTAAGAGTCGTGTGTCGATGAAGGATTTGAAATTGAACGGTCTTAAATCTCACGATTGCCATGTTTTAATTCAGCATTTCTTGACAGTGGCATTTAGATCAATATTGCCAACGAATGTGAGGGGGGCAATAACTAGACTATGTTATTTTTTTAAAGCCATTTGTAGTAAGGTCATTGATGTTGAAACGTTGGATCAGTTACAAGAGGAAGTGGTAGTCACCTTATGTGAATTTAAGATGTTCTTTCCTCCATCATTTTTTGATATCCTGGTCCATTTAGTTGTGCATTTGGTGAGAGAAGTTAAACTTTGTGACCATGTTTTTCTTCGGTACATGTATCCATTAGAGAGATTTATGGGTATTTTGAAAAGATATGTGAGAAACCGGTATAGACCTGAGGGCAGAAAAGATTATTGAATTCTGTATCGAGTATTTAGATTTGGAGTGCACAGTTGGGGTACCGAAGTCTCGGCAAGAAGGTAGAACAGAGGGGAAAGGAACAATATGACATCACATCATCCATCTTGACTCTAAAATGTTCAGTTTAACACAACTCTATATTTTACAACAAACAGATGATGTTCGTCCGTATTTGAGAAACACATGTCTCTTTTAAGACAAGAGAACCCTGGGAAAACTGAGAGGTGGTTGACCAATGAGCACAATTGTATATTTCTAAAATGGTTTCAAGAGCATGTTCGCAGGCAAACAATACATTCTCCTCATAATGTCACAGAAAATGTGTGATCATTAGCTATAGGGCCGTCGGTAAATGTATCTTCTTATGAGGGGTACTACATGAATGACTATTATTTTTACACAAACATCAGGATGAGAAGAGTACATTACAGAATAGCGGTGTGTGTTTGAATGCTTCTTCCCTACACATTCCTAGGGGTAAAGATTCGACACCGATCCGGTCATACAAAACATATTATGGCTTGATCGAGGATATATGGGAACTCGAATATACAAACTTCACCATTCCTGTTTTCCTGTGTAAATGCTTGGATATCAACAAGGGGATTAAATCAGA